GGCACCACCGGCCGTGGGGCTCAGAAGGCTCCGGTCTGATCGCTCGGTGGTACCATCACCACCACCCTCCAGGCTGCAGGGTGCTCGGCCATGAGCCGACCCTCTCGTTCATCTCTTCAGGGGCATGTTTGGGTCCCACAGCTCCTTTCCCAAGGGCTGGCAGCCCCCCATGCCGGCAGCAGGGAGGGATGGGTGCTGCTGCGTGCAATGCGGTTCTGCTGCCTCTAAAGGGAGTTGGACACCACTTGGGTGTCCAGACACGTCCAGCAGACCAGCGCGGGGCCGTGCCCGTGCATGGGGAGCAGTAACCAGCAGAGGGTAGCAGATGGTCGCAGCCATCCCGCTGCAGTTTGGGCAGGGGATGCCCAGAAAGCTCCTCTAATCCCACCCCGCTTCTCCTGGGCCTTGCCCCACCACCTCCTCCAGCCCACCTCATGCCCTCTGTCAGAATGTGCAGCCCCAGCGATGCCTGTCCTGGTCTCCCCATGCCGACACTGCGGATGTCGGTCCCGATCACCCCCTAAGGCGCTCTCAGGAGAACAGTGCAACTTCAGCAGGCGTGCAGCACCGATTGCAAACCCTCAGGGCAAGGTCCCTCTCCCAGGACACTGCCCATGCTGTCACCTGGGATCTTCGGGGCTGAAAGCTCAGCAGAGACCCACCAGCCTGGAGAAGAGAGGGCTCGGGGAGACTGAACTTCAGTTTTCCACTACCTAGAGAAGGGTTGTGGAGAAAGGAGACACAGCAGTGCACGGCAAAAGGACAAGAGACAACGGGCACAGGTGCCACAAGGGAAACTCTGAGGCACATAAGGAAAATAACCTCCTCTGTGTGCATGGTGCATCGATGTGACAAGAACCAGTGGTGGGACCTCTGCCCTTGAGGGTTTCCAAACCTGACTGGACCCCAGAGGCTCTGATCAACCTGACCTTTGGAGCTAGCCCTAGCTGGCCCTCCTAGCTTTAAGCAGAAGGTTGGACTCCAGACCTCTGCAGGACCCTTCCATCCTATCTCTTTCTGTGACCCCGTGAAACCCAAACCCAGCATTTTCTCCTGGTTTTGACCGGGTCTCCAGGAGCCAATGCAATGGCCTCTATGGGGTCCATCACACTTGCGATATGTCAGTCCCTCCCCTCTCTCTGACAACCTCTACAACTATGGGAAAAAGAGACTAAAAGACTTGTTCTAGCTTTACTGACTGAACAGTGTTGCTTGGGTGCAATCCCTGCCTGTCTACATCCAGTTGAAATGCCGCAGCAGCACAGCATCCACCCCGCGCTCACGGAGAAAGCAGGCAGCTTCCTAACCCCCCCACGCCTCCGCAGAGGAGCAGAGCCTCTGCCAAGCAAGGGAGCCAGGTTTCGGTCTCCACACCGAGGGTGGTACGCGAACCCACTGCGCTACAGCTCCTGACCCACTACTGCATCCCTGAGCCTGGGCTGTCTGCTCCACACACCGAGTGCCATCCGCTATTGCCTCACCAAACGCCAACCGCGCACCCCAGAGCAATGGGGCCAGCTAGAACTTGGGTCCCAGGCAGGGAAACCTGGGGAGAGGATTTTTGGAGATGCTTAAAGAGCACGCTCCCCCTCTCAGCTTCCAAAATGTCGTGTAAAAACCGAGGGTGTGATAAATGGGAGAAGGTGCTTAAGTTGATGAGGGAGCCCAAATCCTGCCCCACAAAACGATTTCTGCCTCTGTTGTGCTTCTCAAAACACTAGCCATCTCATTTACTCAACCACAAAGTTTGTAATGTTAAAAAAAACCCCAAAACTAAATTCCCTGTGGAGTTTACAACTGTAAGCTGCAGTGAGGCTGATCTTGTGGGCATGTCACACCAGTCAAACGAGAGAATCACAGAAAGAAAGTAAAGAGTTTAGATGAAAATGAATTAAATCTGGGAAGCTGCCAAACTGACGGCTTAATGATCCACGGTACTGCTAAAAACACAGGGAGTAGGTGAAAAGTTGTTAATTATCCAGCACTGCTGGGCACGCCTGTTTGGAGAGGCGCCAGGTAAAAGCACCGATAGGGGTTTCGATAGGGCGTGCGCACGCGTTGTGCTACTGACACACCCGAGAAGGTCCGTCCTGGGCCCCCCAGCATCAACTGCTGCTTTTGAAATG